ATTATCAGAACATCTAAAGAACAAGATGTTCAGTGGGAATGTTACCAAAATAGATTTTCCCATCTTGCACAGAAATAAATTTCAGCACAATAGAAAGTACTCTGCTAACAATTTATACACATTTCATCAATGGAATTATCTTTCAAATGACAACTTATACACAAGTGCATTCCATGGTAATTTACAATTGGAACAACAAAAAGTCCATTTAGTCTAGGATATTTGTTAAAAAAAGAAAACTAACCTTTCAAGAAAATACAGTATTAAAAGATTAGTGCTCTAGATGAGAAATCTGACGGGTGGGGGGGGGGGGAGAGGGGAGGGTCAACTAAACTTGACAATATTAAAAAAAAATTGCAGTCAAAAATTGTCTTTAGTAAATTATCTATGTCATGAAGACTGCAGGAATTTTTTTTATCATGGTTATATAAATAGTACTGAAGAAGTGCATCCAAAATGAACATTTCAGGTTATTTTCCCCCCCAAAAAAGTAAAAATTTAAAATTAACAAAGTAATACTCTCCAAACCACAAGAGAGAATATATACATTACCACAAAATTCTTGTTCCATTTCCAGTTAAGTATAATTTTTTATATTTTTTTAGTGTATATATAATTTAGTTCTGTAGTACATCATGAAAGAAACTATGTTTTGAATAATGCCCCATTTTATTGTAGCAGCACAAGCTGCATAGAAAAAATTAAAATCTACAAATAAATAATTATATATATATAATAATATATATATATATATATATATATATATATATATATATATATATATATATATATATATATATATGTCGTACCTAGTAGCCAGAACGCACTTCTCAGCCTACTATGCATGGCCAGATTTGCCTATTAAGCCAAGTTTTCATGAAATAATGTGTTTTTCGACTACCTACCCTACCTAACCAAACCTAACCTAGCTTTTTCGGCTACCTAACCTAACCTAACCTATAAAGATAGGTTAGGTTAGGTTAGGTAGGATTGGTTAGGTTCGGTCATATATCTACGTTAATTTTAACACCAATAAAAAAAATTGACCTCATACATAATGAAATGGGTAGCTTTATCATTTCATAAGAAACAAATTAGAGAAAATATATTAATTCAGGAAAACTTGGCTTATTAGGCAAATCGGGCCTTGCATAGTAGGCTGAGAAGTGCGTTCTGGCTACTAGGTACGACATATATATATATATATATATATATATATATATATATATATATATATCGTACCTAGTAGCCAGAACGCACTTCTCAGCCTACTATGCATGGCCCGATTTGCCTAATAAGCCAAGTTTTCCTGAAATAGTATATTTTCTCTATTTTTTTTCTTATGAAATGATAAAGCTACCCATTTCATTATGTATGAGGTCAAAAAAAATTATTGTAGTTAAAATTAACGTAGATATATGACCGAACCTAACCAACCCTACCTAACCTAACCTAACCTATCTTCATAGGTTAGGTTAGGTTAGGTTAGGTTAGGTAGGTTAGGTAGCGAAAAACGAAAACTTGGCTAAACTAATAAGTTAGGTTAGGTTAGGTAGCCGAAAACCAGTTAGGTTAGGTTAGGTAGGTTAGGTAGTCGAAAAACAATTAATTCATGAAAACTTGGCTTATTAGGCAAATCGGGCCTTGCATAGTAGGCTGAGAAGTGAGTTCTGGCTACTAGGTACGACATATATATATATATATATATATATATATATATATATATATATATATATATATATAAAAAAAATTGACCTCATACATAATGAAATGGGTAGCTTTATCATTTCATAAGAAAAAAATTAGAGAAAATATATTAATTCAGTAAAACTTGGCTTATTAGGCAAATCGGGCCTCGCATAGTAGGCTGAGAAGTGAGTTCTGGCTACTAGGTACGACATATATATATATATATATATATATATATATATATATATATATATATATATATATATGTTTCATTGAATATGACCGCATATTCTGTATTTATTATTTTCTGGTTTAGGGCTTCTATCCCTCTATTTTCTTAGCATCAGGGCTTAATTGAAATAGGAGTTCTCCAAAACTCATTTTCGTACTTTTAAGGTGAAGAAAAGAAGTGATTTACTATAGAGTGTATTACACTTATTTGTATAATTTGCACGACGTTTCGAACCTCCATGGTTCATTCTCAAGTGAACAGATCTTACAATACTAGTTGATTTTATACCTGCATTAGGTCAGGTGATAATACAATGAAGGTGAAAACATGGGGGGATACATAAGGGATAAACATAGGGGCTGCAGAAGGCTTATTGGCCCATACGAGGCATCTCCTATCTAAACACAAAGATTAATCCAGTGTAATTGGCCTGTTATGTTGGACATTGTCTTCTGTGTTGGCATCGATATGTTCTTGTCTTGTCCTTACTCTCATGGTGGGTAGAGTAAATAGTTCCGTGATTTGGGTGTTCATGGTAGGTCGCTCTATTCTTATGTGAATTGCCTCAAGAATTTGTAATCTTCTTGAATCTTGGGTTTTGTCTATTATGCAAGTATTCTCGTTCAACATTTCTCTTGTTAGAGTAATGTCATGGGCTTGTCTCATGTGATTCCTAGGGGCACCAGATTGAAGATGGCATGTCAAACGCCTCGTCAGCTTGGTCGACGTCATACCTATGTACTTACATTGAAGGTTACATCCTTCGTGGGGGCAAGTGTACATGTATACAACGCTTGACTGCTGTAGAGGGTTCTCCGTCGGCTTCGGGCTGTTTTTGATAAGGAGTTCGGAAGTCTTCTTGGTTTTGTAGAATATTATCAGGTTTATGTTTTGGTTAGGAGTAGTGCTTTTTACTCCTTTACGGATTATTTCTTTCATTATTCTTTCCTCTTTTATATGTTCACTGTGCATGGTTGATTTGTAATATAATTTTATTGGGGGTGTTGTGGTTTCTGTTCTAGGTTCTGAATTATACCAACGGTCCAAGTGTCTTCTTATAGCAGCGTTTATTTCCGCGTTGCTATATCCGTTGTTCACCAATACCTGAGTTACTCTTTCAAACTCTCTACTCACGTTGCTCCATTCAGAGCAGTGGGTAAGCGCTCGACGAATATAAGCATTGATAACCATGCACAGTGAACATATAAAAGAGGAAAGAATAATGAAAGAAATAATCCGTAAAGGAGTAAAAAGCACTACTCCTAACCAAAACATAAACCTGATAATATTCTACAAAACCAAGAAGACTTCCGAACTCCTTATCAAAAACAGCCCGAAGCCGACGGAGAACCCTCTACAGCAGTCAAGCGTTGTATACATGTACACTTGCCCCCACGAAGGATGTAACCTTCAATGTAAGTACATAGGTATGACGTCGACCAAGCTGACGAGGCGTTTGACATGCCATCTTCAATCTGGTGCCCCTAGGAATCACATGAGACAAGCCCATGACATTACTCTAACAAGAGAAATGTTGAACAAGAATACTTGCATAATAGACAAAACCCAAGATTCAAGAAGATTACAAATTCTTGAGGCAATTCACATAAGAATAGAGCGACCTACCATGAACACCCAAATCACGGAACTATTTACTCTACCCACCATGAGAGTAAGGACAAGACAAGAACATATCGATGCCAACACAGAAGACAATGTCCAACATAACAGGCCAATTACACTGGATTAATCTTTGTGTTTAGATAGGAGATGCCTCGTATGGGCCAATAAGCCTTCTGCAGCCCCTATGTTTATCCCTTATGTATCCCCCATGTTTTCACCTTCATTGTATTATCACCTGACCTAATGCGGGTATAAAATCAACTAGTATTGTAAGATCTGTTCACTTGAGAATGAACCATGGAGGTTCGAAACGTCGTGCAAATTATACAAATAAGTGTAATACACTCTATAGTAAATCACTTCTTTTCTTCACCTTAAAAGTACGAAAATGAGTTTTGGAGAACTCCTATTTCAATTAAGCCCTGATGCTAAGAAAATAGTTAGAGGGATAGAAGCCCTAAACCAGAAAATAATAAATACAGAATATGCGGTCATATTCAATGAAACATGTTTGAAAGAAAACCTGCTGCCAGTATACACCAATATATATATATATATATATGTCGTACCTAGTAGCCAGAACGCACTTCTCAGCCTACTATGCAAGGCCCGATTTGCCTAATAAGCCAAGTTTTCATGAATTGTTTTTCGACTACCTAACCTACCTAACCTAACCTAACCTAACTTTTTCGGCTACCTAACCTAACCTAACCCGTAAAGATAGGTTAGGTAGGGTTGGTTAGGTTCGGTCATATATCTACGTTAATTTTAACTCCAATAATTTTTTTTTACCTCATAGGTGATGAAATGGGTAGCTTTATCATTTCATAAGAAAAAAAATAGAGAAAATATATTAATTCAGGAAAACTTGGCTTATTAGGCAAATCGGGCCATGCATAGTAGGCTGAGAAGTGCGTTCTGGCTACTAGGTACGACATTATTATTATATATATATATATATATATATATATATATATATATATATATATATATATATATATATATATATATATATATATATGTCATACCAAATTGCCAGAGTTGCCTAACAAGCTGTATTTTCTTGAAATATTTAATGTCAAATATTTTGTCTTATGGAATTATAAACAAAAATGTTATATAATCTATGATTGTGATTTTTTTTAGTTAAAAACTAACAAATTTTACAAAACCTACCCTAACTGAACCTAACCTATCCTAACATAACAAAGTTATTAATTCATGTTCTTAATACATCTTTGTGGATATTGTGGATAAGAATGAACCAATTTGGAAACATTTGAAAATAACAAAAATTGTTCTGTTAAGGAAATTAGGCCAAGTAATGCAGTTTTGGCTATTAGGTATGATATACATACATACACATTATACATATACATATATATATATATATATATATATATATATATATATATATATATATATATATATATATATATATATATATATATATATATATATATATATATATATAATATATAAATGCTATCTATTTTGGCTTATCTGAATACTTATATGTAAAAATATTAGCTTATTATTGAACATGGAAGAAAAAACAACTGCTAAGATTAAAGAGTATTTACAAATGTTTTAAAATATTCAACCTTCTCATCGCTTTGTATACTTGTCAATATATTCCCTAACTTTCCGTCTAAAAGATTCCTTGTCTTGTTGATAATGTTCTGCAGCTTCTATGTTCAGAGGGTCATCAAAGTTCAACAAGTCCTGGATGGAAACAAATATGACAATATCATTAACAGCTAAATTATTGTTACTGAATTCTAATGCCAGTTGTTACAATAACAATTTATGTGTTGAATGTAATGAAATACTCTGGCTTATACACTATTTAACTGAACCTTAGACTTCCACAGCAGGCCTCCAAGACCATGTCACTTACCACAAAACCACCAGGGCCAGAATCCAGATCTATTTTCAAGGGAAAAAGCAGTCTGGGGGATCAGATATCAACCCCAAACCAGGGTAATACCTACCAGAGAGCATAGGCACAGTAAAATATGCATCTACTTAAATGAAAAGTAATCTCTCGTTAAACAAGGCAAATGACTACCGACATGCGAAAACTACCCTAGCTGCAGGAATTTAAAGCTTAAATTCCATTTTTGATGGGCTTCCATTAAATTGGAAGCCCATCGAAAATGATAGTTTATTTACCTCCAACACTTTATTTATGAGAGGGCTTCCTCTGGAGCTCTTCTAGCTTACAATGTAGCCTCAAGAGGCTGTTGAAAAGTAAAATTAGCAGAACAGAACAGTCAGCTTGAGTTTATCATGGAAAAAACACTGGAAAAGAGGGCCTGAGCCAAAGAATAATAACTGGTGGCACATTGGTAGTATATTTGCCCTGTGCTTCATGAGCAATTTGGCTTATACAGTATTTCTATTCTGGACGGAGGATTGACTAGACAACAATCCTTAACTGTTCACCTCTGTTCACCCAGCAGTAAATGGGTACCTAGTTGTTAACCGATTGGCAACTCGTATTCCAGGGGGAACTAATGGGTAAGGCTTACCATGAGCCTTACCCATTAGTAAAGGAAAGGTAGGGAAAGCTCTCAATCTGCTAACATGAGTCAGAAGTCATCTGTTTCTGTACCCATCTGTGAAGAAAAAAAATAAAAAGGGTGTGCACAATACTCCCTAGTATACAATGAGGCCAAGGAATGTTCATTTAATAATAGGAAGCTAACACTCATAGAATGCCAAAAAGCCCTGAGCCCAGATATTAATCATGGATATATGGGCCAAGTGCAATGATATACAACTGATTACTTGAACTGAGCTGCTGTACAGATCTATGACTTGGGAGAGGAAAAGGGAGCAAGAGAAACAGGGCTAACTAACAATGCATCACCCACCAGAATGCATGTTGCATGCAAGTAATGTCATACTGCAACCACAAGACAATGTGTATGCTTTACAGTACTCCAAAGTGTATGACTTGTCCTTTTAGGTGGTGATTTTTTCCCAGTGGTGCTTTTACAACTGTAGATATTACTACAATGGGGCCTCGACTTACGATGCTAATCCGTTCCCAGAGACGGATTGTAAGTCGAAGCGATTTTTCCCATAAGAAATAAAGGGAATTGAATTAAACCATTCCCCACCCTCCAAAATATTAACATACAAATACATTTTATACTGAATACAATGTTTTTTTCTAACTACAATACAGTACCTAAGTTTATTTTACCTTTATGGAGGGCTCTTGATGGCATATGGAAAATGGTGATGAGGGGGGAGGAGGAGAGTTGTTACTGTTTGGAAGGGGAGTCCCCTTCCATTATCACATCAGGCAGTGATGTTTTCTCTGGGGTACTCTTTCTCCTACGTTTTGCCTGAATACCACTAGGACCTGGTTGTGGTTCAGTGCTTGTTTGTCTCGCTACAAATTTGTCAAGAGACATTTGTTTTTCCCTTCGTTTTAACATTTGTCTGTAATGATGCATCACTTTAGCACCCATAATGTCCTTTTTCTTAGCCATTATGGTGGATATCGTTGACTGAGATTTGTTGTACTGCCTAGCCAGTTCAAAAACTCGCACACCATCTTCATATTTACGAATGATCCCTTGTTTCTGCTCTATGGTCATTCTTACATGGGATCTCATATGTTGAGCCTTACCACTGACTTTCCTGGGGCTCATGGTGTGATATATAATAATTACTTTAACCCTCAAACCGCGCATATCATATATAAATGATATCAGTGAAAAAACCGAAACCACGCAAATCATTTATATACGATTTCGTGTCTAGCGCTATAATTTAAACGCCCCGCCTGGGATAGGGGCAGCTATAGTACAGCCACGACCGATAGTTGCCAGATGCCACCTAGAAAAAAAATCCAGGCCAACATTCTTGGGTGTTACAGCGTCAGTATTGAGGAAGCCACCAAGGCTGGCGCATGCAGCACGAGCTCACAGCACCGCTGTTCAGCTTGTGACCACAGCATAGCCTACAAATGCCAAAATATATTTGATACTGCTATTATTTAGCAGTGATAGTATTACTGAAGCCCCCTGACTGTGATAAAACTGACCAGGATTCTGATAATAGCAGGATTGTGGTGAAATTTAGCGTTGTGCTCCATGGAGGGAGGAGTAAGGCTGTGGAGGGAGGGTTGTGGCGTCGTCTTCTGACTGTATGTGGCCACCATTTATTGACTGCACTCACCATACCAGCTTAGTGGTTCACTATGGTGAACACAAATGTAGATACTTATATATAAAGTGTGTATAGTGTGAGATAACAGCAAGAGGAGAAGGTTGGGGGCCGCCATTTTGGTGAGGGAGGAGCGTCGTCTGCACGACTTGGCATGTTGTTTACTGATGGCTACTATGGTCTTTGGGCACCATACCAGCTTATTTGTACAGGTATGGTGAATAAAACAGGTAGATACTTATATATAATGTGTGTATATAGCGTAATAACACCACAAACAATATTGTTGTAGGAGAAATGTTAGTGCATCTGGCCTTGAGGGCGGCCGCCGATCAGCTGACTGTGTGAGTAGCTACGTCTTTGTGCCTTTACTCACCATACAAGCTTAGATGTACAGTTATGGTGAACAAAACATGTAAATACGTATATATAACGTCTGTGTATAGTGAATAAATGCAAAAACACTATTGTGGGAGGAGAATGAGGGCAAGTGAGGTGGTGTTGAGGGAGGGAGTGGCAGTGAGTGGCTCGCTGGTGTTTGGCGGTCACTCCTCGTTGCTTTTTGACTCATAAGACCAACTAAGTAGTTCGTTATGGTGAACAAAACATGCAGATACTTATATATAACCTGTGTATATAGTGTAACAACAGCAAAACTATTTGTTTATTGTTTTATGAACATAATAATTGAATCACTAATATGCACACCATAATTTTGAGTACAGCGATGGTTCACACATTTTATTATATAAATATACCACAATTCACTGTATGGAATAATAATACTGCAAAAAAACTAAGAAAAAATAAATCAGAGACATTGAAATAATTACGTAATAATATATTTGTGGCAACTGCCGTCTGATAGCTCGGGCGGAGTAGACCTCGTCTGGCGAAGGCTCTGCCAACGCCCCTTTTTTGCCACACTTCCCTACCCTATTGCGGCTAAAATATGCCCCCTACGATTTTTTTGTTATTTTTTCCGTGATCAGGGAACAAAAATGAACACTTCTATAAGACGAAAGAATTTTTGGATTTTTTTTTTGTTGTGTCTGTGGGTGTGAATTCCATTAGAGCCCCTAGCAGTTTGAGGGTTAATGTTCAAAATGCAAAAAATCACCACAAACGCAGAATTTCTTATAGGCGCGATTGTCACTAAGTGGGCAGCTGTAGGCAGGTTGGACTGGGTGACCGGGAATCACGCGCTCGGTCGACCAGAACATGTACCAACAAATATCGGAAGTCGACGACACCATTGGATGTCGAGTCGCATTTTTCGATGAAATTTACATGGTAACTCAAAATTATCGTAAGCAGAGGCAATCGTAAGTCGAGATGCCACTGTACAGTACTTTTATTTGTTTTCCTCACTCTTTCATCTGTTGCCTTACTATCCCCTTTATAATTGATCAATTCACTTATTATTTCTACTAGGAAGTACAGTATTTCTATGTCCACACATGTAGTTACTTTGCCTCTTTAATCTTTAACTGTTATAATGTTGTTCTATTTTTGCTTAGTGTTGTGATTTTAAACTTCAAGAATAATTTCCTCCACACATGGTTAAGTAGATGAAACTAGTGAGTACTGCTTCAAGACCCTGTGGTTTTCCAGTTTCATGGCTTTGTCTATATTTTATTTATCTTGCTGTTTGTAATGTTTTAGCATGCCCTCCTTTCTGGAGGCCTTTCTAGGTAAAGGAAATCTACCATCTCCTGCTCCTTGGTGGGCAGGCAGGTTTTTGATCTTGGATATCCCATAGGCTCGTGTGACTCACATGGGCCTAGCATGGATTGAATTGGGTGGAGAGTGCCAGGAAACAAGAATCAAGAAGCCATCAAGGACCCACCAGGAAGAGGAGTTTCATTACATTCAGAACTGGGTTTTTCGTATGCTGAGAGATGATGCCTAATTTATTTTATGTTCATTAGAAGGGAAAATATGCAGAAGATAGAAGGAAAAGAAAAGGTATGATCACCTATTTCAAATTAATGACAGGAATTGATAAAGGAGGATTTTTTTTAAATATGCAACTTTAAAAAACCCACCGTTGGATGTAATGAAACGCCATTTTTGGGGTGAGCCCCAGAGACTCCCTGAAGCTATCCAAACTGATATGTTTTATATTAGTTTGGGGGTCATCAGTTACAGGAGTTCTTGCCTACCGGGGACCACGTGGCAGAACCTGACCCCCCTCAGAAGCGCAGGGAGCAATGGCCATATGAGCACTTTACATTTAAAGTATGTCATGTCTGCCATCAACCAAGGAAAGCACCCAGAAAGATGGGGGTTTTGATACAAACCTGGTGACAATTGCAACCTATGTTTAAACAGAGTCAAAGAACTTCCCCAAAAGAAAATAAATAAACAAGCAAATTGTCATTCAACTAGTGCGCCAGTTCAGGTGAGCCAGCAGCTCACCATTCCAGTTCATAGAATAATGAAAATCACTGACCAGAGGAAGGGAGGTTGTCAGGGAGCCTCCGGGGCTCACCCAGAAAATAGAGTTTCATTACATTCAATGCTCGTTATCCGAAGGA